CAAACGCCTCAAGTGTTTGCTGAAGATGTCACCCACACTTCAGGCTAAAAACTCCATCTCTCTCGCTCAGTCCAAGTTCGTCGCTTGAGTCTTTTGTTTAGACAACGTCAACGTTGAGGCAGAAGTTGCTGCTCGTTTCCCCGCTTCGACTTTTGCAATTTGGCACAGCAGCACTAACAACATCCAGAAGAAGCTGAAGCAGCAGAAGCAGCACAAATATTGGCAATATTTCGATGACTGCAAAATATCGCTTACAGTTAAATGGAAATTGATGCACTTAGCTGACTCACTCACTTCTGTTTGGGCATGGGCACTGCTGCTCCTCGTCCTATAAAGAAAACTATGCAATTGTGTGTACTCGGCGGAGAGAATTCCTCATTTTCCATCCAAAACTCCTCATGCAAGCAACGTGACTTTGAATAAATTAAGTGCACATATGATATGCAGACACAGCAAGGTAAGGGCAAAAAAAAGAGGAGAAGAAATGGAGCGAACGATTGTGTGAGATTTTGCCGAGGACAAACACAAAGGATGGTAGCAAACAAAAATATTTCTTCAGACCCACTTCATAATCATATCGAGTGTCAGCGAATCATTTTTATACCCTCCCCATCAATTCGGATCAGGCTGGATCAGGCTCATGGCCATAAAAAACATATCAAGCCTACATTATTTTCCAGGCTAAACCTCAATTTAAATAAATTGCAATTAATTTAATTTAATTAACAGCTCTGCAAACACGTTCCGGAGCAGGAGGATTACCGATCCCGGCCCAGTCATCTGGTAACCACTTGTCGCTTTTTATTATCTAGTCGCCTGTCAAAAACTCGTGCTATATGCCATAAGATATGCTATTTTATATCCAGCAGCCCATCGGGCTACAAATGGCACAACAAATTCGTGCAGAGCTACCACACCGAACCGAACCAAACCAAAACCAGACTACCGCCACATTGATCGGGATTGGGATCGGGATCGGGCGATGGCGATGGCTATGACGGCGACGATGATGGTCCTATCAGCATGGAAAACTATCGGGACTTTTAATGAGGCTCCTTATGATTTCTTAAAATCTATTCAAGAGGACAACTAACAAATTACAGCGAACTTTATCGCAGTCTTTGAAGAAGTGGGAGATGAAAGCGGTCAGATAAAAAACCAGATCTGATTTAGACGATGATTGGCACGCGAAAGAATTGTATCGGTACAATATAATAGTAATGAAATCTTCCGTTTCGAAACTTTCAATAAAAATATTAGTTTTATTACAAGCTGTTAAAGGATATTTTGAAATACACAACTATTTAATGTAAAAATAATGATAGCTGCCTTACATTTTTTAGGCCAAAACATTTCCATGCATAAATTAACTTTATAAATATTAATAATAAACTATGATTATCGCACAAAAATAGGATGATTAAGCGAGGGACTTGTCTTGCAAACTGTAAACTGCCGGTTGGCTCAAATATGCGAAATTAACAAGACACAATTACAAGACATCGAACGCAACAGACAGCAGGCCTAACCATCAAGTGTTTTCCCCATATATACCCGCAGAACCTCCCTCCCCCACCCAATTTACAAAGGTCCCCGCACCCACTGTTATCGTTTAGTCTATGATTTTATTTTTATTGCAACGCATCGCCTTGCCTCGAAGCCTTGCACAGTGATTCTAATGTTTTATTTTTAAAAAAGAAATCATAGAAAATTACATATGATACAAAAAGTTGCATTACCACTTGATCAGAATGAATTTATCATTATTTTACTTGTTAATTAAACTTATTTTGCTCAACTTAAATATCGGATACAGAAAGAAGTGTTTTAAACTGTATTTGTGTAATTTGTCATACTTTTCATCGGTTCTATTAACTTTTAGGAATTTCAGTATAATTTATTTTCCAAAATACATTTAATAATACGTATACTAGTTTTAATTTAATAGTAGGTACATACAATTTTCATTTTCTATTATTAAATTGAAACCAATGTGCATTGACTCAAATCCCGAAGTCGCAACTACAGATGCAGGCAGGCTGCATTTGGCACCAGAAACTCTTGGCCAAATGTTCGCACAGAAATTTGCGAGATTTTTATCGGGCGGGAGAGGTTGGCCAAGTTGGAACGAAACGGAGGCGTAGAGAGCAGCCTAGTCAAACATCGTTGTTGTCGTCGTTTGAGGTGAAAACTCGCAACGCGAGTGCATGCAAAACGGAATTTATTGTATAATTAGGATTTGTCTTATTGGTAATAAGCCGGGTTAAACATAACGAGCTTTTGTGCTTTCTACATAAACAATATTTTGTTGTGGTCAGCAAAGGAGTCGCGCCCACAACGCTGAGATGAAACCCATCTACAGAGAAAAAGTCTCTTTAGATTTTGTAATATGGTTTTTTGGGGGCTATAAGGTGTGTAGATTTCTATGGTATCTACGGCACATAATGCATTCACATGGAATTTCTTAAAATATTAGTAAAAGATCTATTGATTTTAATATAATATTTTATTACATTTTATTTTAACAAAATAATGGCTTGTATATAATACTAAAACTAATAGGAACTAAAATAAAAAATTATTCAATTTACATTTATTTTATAATTCTAGCCAATATTGCGACAATGCGTGAATAAAGATGAAAGTGCCAAAGGAACCTATAAGTATCCCTTTTATATAGAGGGATCTCGATATTTTTTGTGGGTTTTTGTTGGCCAGTTGGTTTTCTAGGCTTTTTGTGTGTGTTGTGTGTACAAGCTCATTACGACTCTTGCTCGCCAGCTTGGTTGCTGTTTTAGTTGTTGTTCGGTTGTTGTCGCCGGGGTGTCGAAATGTACAGCCAATTACATGCGACAACAACAACAACAGAATCAAGGAGGGGAAACCCCGGGAGCGGACTGGGAATTCGGTTGGCTGGTAATTCGATAGCTGAGCCCGCAGCGCGAAAAGCAAAAGGAATTCAAGGCTAAAAGTCTGAGAATCGGAGGCAGGCATTGAATTTCATGAGTTCTTTCCTCGTTGTAGGTAGCATCCGACGGGTTGCGACCTCTATAGATAGTGCTTCTCGCATTCACATCCCCCACCTAGCCCCCCTTTTCCAGCTTACATAGAACAATTATTTTGCGTGTAATTATATGAGCATGTTATGCGAAAAGCAGCAGTGCCTTGCGTTCTGTGATTTTTCCTTTTGGCTAATGGATATCTTGTTAACGGAACGAATTTCCAGAGAGAGATTTTAATGGCGTGGAAATGTGGCCAGAATTGTTCAATTATATTGAAAATGTAAGCACTGGTGTTCAATTATTTCTGCTTTTAGTTATCGCCTTTTGATTATTGGAAAATCTATGGAATAAATAAAAAGCTTTTTGTTTACACATTAATTGGGAATATTTTCGACTTAAGGCACTAGATGCCTTTTTATCCTAAGTCAATTTGTTATGCAGAAATTCGAAAAAATAATTATTGGAATTACCAAATACATGTCGATGACTTAATTGCAATAATTATCGTGTCGAGTTCATTCATCAATATGCAAATCCCCTAAGTAAACGAATATATTTTCCAAGCTCTCAATTACGGTTAATATGGGAACTACAATTTGCTTTAGTTATAGATAAATGTAAATTTTAATAGAGAAATTTCTCAAATATCTGTATTACAATTTATTATGAATATTCAAATTTCAATCAATTTGTCATGGGAAAACTTTGGCTAATAGCTCTCACAATTCGGCCTAAAAAGCGTAACTTAATAAACGGAATGTATCGCAGCCTTCATAACTTTATTAGCCGACCATTGATTGGTATATTTAACCTTAGCGAAGAACGTGCGCATCATTTGCCTGAACTCTTGGACCCTTTGCCTTGCTTTTCAGACCCCAAAAGATCCCAGAGATCCGAACCGATCCGATACGATCCCAGCGAGCTGCTTTCGATTGCCAGCAATAACTCAATAACGGCTATGAAAAATGTATATTCGAAAATTTTCATTCTCCCGGTCTCGAAATCTTCGGCACACATTGAAAATTATGCATGCGATCGCAGCGACGCGACGCGAAACCCGACCCGACCCAATCGACCTGGCCAACCGAACAGCCCACCGATCGACCCGCCAATCGACCCGCCGTCCGCCGACCTGACCAACATTGACTGTATAATCGGCCGCGACGGCGGGCCCAGATCAATCATAGGCCTCGGCCTAGCCTTTGCTTAATTTAATATGGCTAAAGATCAACTGCAGCCGCAAAATGTTCCCGCGAACTTTAGTGCACTTGCTCGACTCTGTTTTCGATACCCTGCTAGGGTGAGGTATATGGTTTACATTATATGTGATCTAAATCAACAAGAACAACATTTAAATGGAAATAATAAGTATTAGTTTGTTGTGTATGGTGCTAAGTAAAATATAAATTAAAGAAAAATCTTACTCTTCAAAATAATACTTGGTTTTTAGATAATGTTTAATAATAGATTCAAGTAATCGTAAAAAAATAAAGGAACATTTAAACATTACTGAAGGTTTATTATAATAAAATTATCATAAATTTTTTTTTTATTAATATTTTTATTTTTTATTATAACCCTAAGATTTTTTATATAATGAAAGTTAGACAATAAAATGTACTAAAATTAAAAAAAAATAATTATCCAGAAGGGTATCTTAAATGCAATGAGCTTCTTCCAAAATCCCTATCCACCCTGAGCCTTCGGCACAAATAGCTCTTGGGAGAATCTGCGGCTATGCTCTCTGGCCAATTGATTTGCAAGCCATATTGTGGCATCGTTCCAATGAGCGGGCCGTGCGAATGGGTTTTCGATCATCTTCGAGCTCTTCCTGCTGCACCGGGGTCAGTGCTACAAATTTTGAACGTTCGGGTCATAGTCGTAGAAGTCACACGGGGCCAGCAGAAAAATGTACGGAAGGGGGGAGAAAAAGAAGACACTCACATCCATGGAGCGCGATCTTGTAATCAGGCGCAACGAATTTGTATATGAACATGCATGACGTGTGTGCAGTCGAATTGGAAGTTGCAACTCCAGTGGGAGGAGGTCGATCTCACTGAAGAGTGCAACTCCTGCGCCGATCACCGATCGCATCGCATCGCAACACATCGCGTCACGTCGGTGAAATGTTAAAGTTCCAGCAAACAAAATCACGATTGACATGACGTATCAATCTCCGGCGATTGGCATGTGTTGCCGCGATGTCGACGATGCAGGAAGAAAATCATAATTTTATAATTTTCGATTTCCATGGGCAATCAGCAGGTCAGCGAAATTAGCGTGGCCAAAAATGATTGCCCACCTACCAGAATGTCCATTGGGATTCCCCTTCTCTCTATTTAAATGCATATATATTTCTCTGACTGAATACTTAATCGATCATTCGACTATTTGCATTTTGCACACCTCGTTGTTTTCCTGATATCTGATATGTGATAGTGTCTTTGAAGTTATTTGATTTTCAGGAAGAAAATTTGTAATGCATAGGGGGTATGATGCAATTAAAGATAATATATATTTACTATAATTTAAATAAAATAAATAATTACAGAAAATAAAATTAAAATTTATTCGCTTACATTTTGTCTTTGAATTTTATTAAATGTTAATAAATACTCCCTGTTGTCAATAAAATATTTGAATATTTTATTTAATATCAATTAATTTAATTGAAATGGTAATTTATTGAAGTAAAAAACTTTAAATGCAAACAAATTTACGCAATTACTCACTTTTATAATCACTTAAATATTCCCCTTTACATCTATTAAATTATTACGCATAATCTTTGAAGACCCTCCTCCAAAACACCTGAGTTTAAAACGATCTCCCTTGAAATTCCCAATTAATTTGCCTAATTTCCCCAAATCGAAATCACCGCAGCTTTTGGCCTCACATTCGAAAGCCGCCTTCGCTTCATTCCACGGTGTTTTCTTACCCAATTCATTTGGGCTCATTAAAATGCGTTCGGCCCCAAGCTCGCACATCGTAAACCAAACCGAAAACCATCCGTGTTGGGCCAGTCTTCTTCCCTTGGAAAACGATAATGTTCAACATAAATTTCCACAAATCAAATCGAGCGCATTTTCCGCCCAGGAGAGATGGAAAGACCTACTAATTAGCAACGCCCACGAATTTTGGCGGGCAAGCGAGGGGGAGAAATGGAAAGCGTTTTGGGGAAAATATTATTATACAAAACGAACCGAGGCTCGGTCGACGATTAAAGTCGAAAAGTTGAGAAAATGGGTGTTGCTGGGTCATAAACAAAAATCTCGAAGTTGGGGAAAAAAAACGAAATATGCTATGAGAAGTGTGTTACAAATTTCCGAGAGGAGGGCAGAAAAGCAGAAGAGCCGAGAAATTTTGGTCTCGAATGTCTCGTTTTGGAAATCGATTCGTCACGTCCAAAAAGGGCTTTGGCTCAATGTCGACAGATCGACAGTTCGACAGTTTCGACGGCTCGAGATGATGATCCCATGGGGTCAGGGATCGTGGTCGATGGTATGTAATTTGCATACATTAAACTACTGTCGAATGCGTTTCCAAAACTTAATCTAAATTTAATTATTGCAGCCAACAAAATACCGAATACGGAATACCAAACGAAACGGCAGCCAACGAAACGATATTTTTTTGTACCCCTGATCTCTTATTTTTGTAAAATAAATTAATAATCAACCGAAAACGCTTTTCATATTTTTATGAGAGAGAGAAAAGGAACGGTGCGCTTTGAACTCGTGCTTATATGCATTATGTACATACATTTTCATAATTTATAAACGATTCTACAAGCTCTACAAGCCCGGGGCTCCTATTTCAAGATCCCCCGTTTGAATGATGGTCTAAGCCCAAAAGCCAAACGAATGGCGTGTAGTCCGAGTCCAAATGCTGTTGATATAGTTTTTATGGGCGTTTGATAAATTTCTTTACATTTTCCACAACAATTAGTTGCAATCAAAAGCCATATTGTTCACAACAAAAATTTGTTGGCCAAAGGGGTATTCGGTTTCTATTTTCTGTTGTCTGCCGGATAGATAGAAAACTTCAGATATCGATTTTTAAATCTTTTTAAATCCGTAATCCGTAAAGCATTCGTTATGAGTTCAACCTGTTGTACTGGCTCAACTTAAATTGTTATGAGCGTGGATCGTTGATTAATAAGAAGATATATTGATGTAGGGCAGAGATAAGAAGGAATTGAAAGAAATATAATAGGTTGTAATTGGGGCTATGTAAATGAAGCAAAAAAAGTTATGAAGTAATTTAAATCATTATTATAAGTACCATTGTAATGGACCAATAATATAAATTATTTTTTAAAAATCATTGAGAATGTTTTAGGGACTTCTTCTTCATCAACAACGAATTAGCATAAGCACGGCATTTTAAAGTCGTAATTAGTAGACATTCTTGTCCATTTATCCCATTCCTTAGCATAATTCCAGATTACGCAAACATACGCAACTTGCACCTGTTCGTCAGTTGTTTACTCTTGAGAAATCAGGTAATACTTCCAATGGACTGCCACTTTGGTACGCCTTAGCACCAATCAAAACCTTTTGACCGAGACTTTTGGAATTAGCAGGCAAACAAGTGGCCGAAGTGCTCCAAGATTTGCGCAGTGTGCAATCCGTAAAACTCGTCAACGGCTGTCCATTTCCCCCGGCCCCTCACCACCGTAGCCCCCCTCCCGTGGGGTTCCATCACCTGCAACTGCAACTGCATTGCCCGGTAGTTGTAATTAAAAACGCGCAAGTCGTAAAAAGCCAGAGAACCGAAGGAAAGACAGAGAAACTGCTGCTGAGAACGGATCGGGAGTCCGTAGTCTTTGAGAGTGTGTCTGGGGCGTAACGCACCCGAAGACTAAAATTAATTTTCCATATGCTTTGCGGATTGACCCACGACGACTAGACTTCTGGCAGCCTTCAATCATGCGAAAAATGTGCTAATTGCAATAGAAATACAATTTCAATCGTAAAATAAATCAGGGGGAATAGAGAAAGGTCCAGAATGGGCTTAAAGTAATCTTATACTAGTAAAAAGGAGGAATGCAATTTCAAAGCAAAGTTCGCTTAAATATTTACCATATAGACAATTAATTAACAATAGAATTTTATATTATTTTAAGTCAATAATTAAACAGGTTAAAATTAAAAAAAAAAATATTTTGGTTGTTCTATAATATATTTTGCAGTTTTATTTACCATATACCATTTTCATCTTCTTAACTTATAGAGTTGAATGCAAGAAAGATGAAGTTTCAAAATTTCCCTAAAAAGTATTCGACACCTGAAAGGAAAACTTCAATCTGGCCAAAATCTGCTAATTGCAGTGGAAATATAGTTTCTATCGTAAAATTAATCAGTAAGAGTGTAAAAAGTGCCAAAGCCAAGGGAAAAACTTTTTTGACTAATGAAGCGCAAAAATCAAAATAAAAATCTATGATGGCTGAACTGAAAGATTGAGAGATTGGCAAGAAATTAGTTGTTGAAAATGAATTGCACTAATATCGAATTTCACACTGCTGCGCTAATGGCCGACAGTCGCAGCAGCAGCAGCAACTGCATTTGACGACGGCAACAACAAAGCGGCAGCAACAACTAAATGCAATCAACATGTGTTTGCAATTGTTGCTGTAGTTTTTGTTGCTGTGTCCGCTTTTTTTCTTTTTTTTTTAGCTAATGTGCAAAGCGCTGATTGGACGAAGCCTGACCGCAAAAATGGAAATTATGATGAGGCCCCGTTTGAGTAAAGAGCACAGCAACAGCATCCACCGACTAACAACCAACAACTAACAACCACTAACTCGCATCCCAAGCTGGTTTCACTTTTGGGCGAGGAGCTTTGTTATTTAGTTGTCGTTTTATTTTACCGATTTCGGTTTTTTTCAACCTTTTTGCGAACTTTCCGTAAGCCAGCCAATAACAAACTATAACTAACAACGTCAACCGATATGAAGCTGCAAGTTTATTGGTCAATCCGCAGAGTAAGGTGTCGATTTTTGTTGTATTGGATTTGCGGTTTGTTGTTTTTTTTTTGTTTTTGCCGTTAATTTGACTTCAAGCTGCCATTATATCGAACATGTGCATATATAACAAGTTGGGCGGGCATTCAGATATTTATATACCTTTACGAAAAGTAGCAAAACGGAATAAAATACAACGGATTTATAATTTGGTAAACATTTAAAGTCAATATTGATTTTTTTTTGAAGGAACAAATACATTTATTTGAACAAGGTAATCAATATTCAATAAAGTAATTGAAATAACAATAATAGTGTGATTTCGTGGCCAATATGATTTGCAATATAATAATAATATAAATTTAAACAAAATTATTTAACAGCTTAGGAAACTGAAGATCTAAATTGTATAAATTAGATTTTCTAGTATTTCTAATTTTAATTTTTCTCTAAGTGTTCCTGCAATCAAATCGCCTAAGTTGGCCCCAACGCGTTGTCACCATTGAAGATTTAGTGCTGGCCATTAAACAACCAATTGGCAAGATTTCAATACGCAGACCGATACTTGCGTTAGGCTAATGACGGAATTATAAGCCAGAATGCCACGCGAGACACCAGAAACGAGAACTGGGACGCAAACTGTGAATAAAAAGCAGACCAACCCGGAGGAGGCCCGCCCCTAAGCGTAAAGAAAACCAGCTACCTGGACGGCTGGCTTAATTTATGTACCTGATTATGCTATGGAAACCTCCCAACAAATCAATTGGAAACAAGTAAGAGAAAAGCAAAATAATCAAAAGGCAATGAGTACGAGCGAGGCATTTAATTGGCTTCATTTGCCTGTGGGTAGGTGGAGCCAACAAAGTATTTCGCATGCGAATGGCAGGTGTATTTGGCAGATCAGACTGTGTAGATGACCTGGTAAAAATGCCTATAATATCGTAAAATAATAATATAATATTTATAAATATATTGCATTTTAACCATTTGTCTTAAGCTGAAAAATATTTTTAAAAATTATACAACACATTTGATAATTTTATTTCAAACCCAATTTGGTGGTTCAAAAATAAAACACATTTTATTGATGCTATCAAACTTTTAGATTTAATATTTATTTAAATTCACTTGACCACTGGAAAACTTCAAAGTAAATAAATAATATTTTTTGAACAAAAGCTATCAGTATTTTTAACTGCACTGCAAAGCCATTTGCGAACTAATCCACCCCTCATTTAGGCAATCCATTTAAATAGCCGCACATGCAACACACATGTTTGAATGAAAATGGCTAAAAACGATGGATACCAGTTAATAGAGAGCGAGAGAAGGGGCGAGAGGACGATAAACGATTCCCAAATCTGTTGCCGCACCCAGACGACGACCCGAGTCGCGATTCGGAGTCAGGAGGCTGGATGTGGATGTGGATGTGGATGTGGATGTGGATGTGGATGGAGACCCAGGGATTCACAGACACAGATTCAGAGATTCAAAGATCCAGCGACAGAGCGCCGGAGAGTGGGAGCATCTGTAAATACGAAACGAAACTTTCCATTCCGACTGAAAAATGTTATCAAATCACCGGCGAACGAACACAAACGACGGCGATGAACCAACCAACCAGCAATGAACCGACCACAAAACTAAGCAAGCCAATTTTCAGCTCATATTAACCCGCAGCACAAAGGCCAAAACAGGCAACGGACACGGCCCCTGGCCAAAAGACTGGCGACTGAAAACGGAGGACGGAGGACAGAGGACTGAGGACCTGGCCAAGAAGAACCAGACTGCAACTATGAATCCGAGAAACAGAAACTACAGCTCGAGCCGAGCGGAGCCCATTTCCAACTTTCTCACGCACTTCAAATTTCAATTGGCAATAAATGTAATGCAAAGCAACACTTTAAATCATTTGCCGAGTCGGCCAAACAACACGCCAACACCAATAAGCCAACAAGACATTGCCATCGGAATTGGATAGCGATTTCTGGCCGGTTATACTGAAGAAATGCAAAAAGAAATTACAGTAGATATCGCATACAATGTCGGGATGATGTAGATTTCAAGATAAGTAGATAAAATCGAATTGAAACTAAACTAAGTAAATAAAAATATTTATGTAAGCTAAAATACTTTTAAAAATGAGAGACATTTTTAAAAATAAATATGAATTTAACAAAAAATGAATGATTAAATAATATAAATTTAAGTCTATTTTTTCCGATTTTATATATTTGGGTTTTAAATTATATTTCCTATAGCCAATACTTCCTGTAAGTACGCATACCTTGGAAATACTTTAGCAGCTTCTTTCACTCGAATTTTTTGCTGCGTCGTAATTAAACGTTCGCCTAATTGCTATTTTTTTATAGGCACAAAAATTTGTCCAGTCATAAAAGCCAAATCAGAGATGGCAAACAGCTGAGAAAAATGCGGGTAATGTAAAGGAAAGAAAAGAAAAGAAAAATATTTGCAAATTCAATCGTCTAAACCGCTAATGCACTCATAAATCCTCGAAATGTTTGGGTGGCGGGTCGCCGGCACATTTATATTTTTTATCGTCCATTTAAGTAAAGAAATAACCCCGATGGACGACCAAGTGTAATAAAGAAAGCACCCAATCTGCTTTTATGTTACAGACTCCGAGAGCAAACAGAAAATACATTAATGCAAAGGCTGTAAAGCTGTGCTTAGTGTTATATAAATCAGGAGGGGAAAAA